GAGAGAGAGAGAGAGAGAGAGAGAGAGAGAGAGAGGAATCGAAATTATACTCCGTTAAAGGGTAAAGTATAAGCCGATCAGATCTTTCATGTGCGACACCTTGTATACATCTGACAAACCAATGAACCAACCAACCAACCAACAAACCGATCAACCAACCAACCGATTGACAGACCGACCGACTGACAAACAGATAGACAGACCGACAGACAGACCAGCGACGTTGCCGAGTCACTCGCATTTGCGTGTATGGTCCGGGCGCGAAGTAGTAACACATGCATTTTGCATCCGTCACAACTCCGCGTTATGTCGCCCGTTCCGGCTCCGAGAGAGAAAGAGAGAGAGAGAGAGAGACAGGAATGAGGAACAGTCGGTCATTTTATTATCGTTGCATCGCATCCGAAGAGCGGCGCGGCCGCACGAAAAGGTGTGGCCAATCGCGGTGCGCCGTGCGATCGGCCCGCGTGCTATCGGAAACATAGCGGCCTGGCCTGGGGTCGTGCGCGACGACGTCACGTGGCGCTCTCACTTAGAGCACGGCAGTCAAGTGCGCGAGCTCGACGCGCTCTCGCGCGCCCGCCGAGCCGCGAGAGTGACGGAGGCTGAGGGGGACGGGACGTGCTTAAGGGTGCTCTCACATGGTCGGCAACGTCACGGCCGGTACTCTCTTTCCTTTCTCTAGGTCTGCTTCTTTATTTCTGTACTATACTGCATTATAGAACACTACCTCTTTCTCGTTTCTACCAAATATCAAATATACACTTATTATCTTACTGTAAGTTCCAAAAGTGTACACTAATTTAGGGTGGTATTCATAGTCCATTCTTATTTCAAGCCTGTCTTAAGTAATGTCTTAAGACGTTAATACGGCCCTCTGATTGGTTCGTGACTTCTTAAGACTGTACTTAAGACGGTCTTGTATATAAAATCTAACTATGAATACAAGTCTTAGCCACAGAAAACAGAAAAACAGACCTTCTCTCTCTCTCTCTCTCTCTCTCTCTCTCTCACACACACACACACACACACACACACACACACACACACACACACACACACACACACCCACGCACACGCACACATCGTCCACTATTATCACTTACTGTGTTTGTTATGTTATTATCCCGCGTTCGTTTCTTTCTTTGTACGTGATTAACTGCGTTCAGTGGAAAAAGCAGCTTTGCAACTGTTATAAAATTCTTTAAGATGATTGGTTTATATCATTTAAATCCAGTGAGGAATTAAGGGCACGACCAATTATTAAAGAATTTCACAACAGTTGCAAAGCTGCTTTTTCTGCTGAATGTTTTTTTTAATCTGCACGCTGAATTTTATTCGCGGTTAGGAAGAATCACGATGGAACAAAGTGCCAATGGTAATATTCACGCATGAAGGCCGCTTAATACGTGTAAGTGTAACCCACACCTACAACGTATCGACGCGCCTGCACTCGAGGCGATATTTCTCAGACATAACTTCGCTCGCAGGTAACTCGACTTGCCCAGGGTCGCCATCGACCTCTTTCGCATTGGGATAAACCAAACGCCCGGAATTACTTTCGCGATAATACCTACGCAATAGGCCCGGATTTACAGATACGCGATAAATGTATATAATCGCTACTTCGACTTCGCTCCCTCACAAATACACATTCGTTCTCGAAACGCCATCGCTGGAACAGCGGATGATCCTTTGCGCTTCGTTTCTCATGCGTTTCTTTGTTCAACCGCTCGTCCTTTTTCGTCCTTTTTCATTGAAGGACGCGAGATATGCGTGCGCGCATAAACGCAGTTTCACCCACACCCACGCGACTGCGCGATGATGCAGCATGCACCGACATGCGACCGAGCTTCTTGCATCGCTTCAGGAATGTTACGGCGGTTACGGCTTCTTGTGATGTGGCAAGAAGTCCGAGATCTCTGCCCTTGTTCTCGAACTTTCAACAAAAATACATAACACGAGACTTTAGCTCATATTACTCATCTGCAGCAAATCTATTGTGTGTGATTTGCAAATCTATTTATTATACAAAGACATCGTTCTTTTTCTCAACTCGCAATTTATAATTATATAAAATAGAGTTGCGTTCGTTATTTAAGGCGTCTCTCAATCGAGAGACCTGTTAACCGGAAGTCTAAGTTTCTCGACTCGTGCTCTGTATATCGATCGTTCCTTTGGCTAAGCGGGAGAAAGAAATCCCGCCATGGAGCTTGCCGCCCGGTTTCCAATGGCGAAGATTTATACCTGCCCCTGCCCTGTTCGCTCGAATCGAAGTGAGACCTAAGTCGTTGCCGCCTGTCCTCTAGTCTACTGCTTGTCTACTAACCGTTTATACAACGCGGTCCCCTATTTGTAGAGACTCTAGAGGCCGTAAAGGTTTATGCTATTTATACAATGTCGAATCAAAGCCTTCGTAGTATTCCCGTTATACAATCACGCGATTGTTTCACCGCAAGGCTCGTGATTGTTGTTTGTTTGCGGATCTTGTATTCACGCTCGCAAGCTGCTTTAATTATGATTCATTATTCAAGAAACAAATTCGGGCAGGTTTGGACAGGTTTGGAGACAGGTTGGCACTTGAAGCTCTAAGTCTTCAAGTGCGAATAGTCGTGCGAATTTATTTGGCACTTGGAACAATAATAACTTCGTGTCAAGTTAATGACTCTTATATTATCTGTTAATTTAATTATACTTAAACTCAATCAGACTTTGTTCGGTTGTTTTACTGCATCCGCCTCAAATATCTCTCGCCATCGAATTACGTCGTAATTTCCACGTTGATACTTCGC